ACTGCTGGGTGTTTGCTAAGGTTTACAGACTGCTGGGTGTTTGCTAAGGTTTACAGACTGCTGGGTGTTTGCCAACAATTACAGTTTGTTGGATGTCAGCTAATGTTTCCTGACTGCTGGATGTTTAATGTTTATAGAAGGCTGGATATTTGCTAACGTTTGCAGATGGTTGGATGTTCACTCCTTGTTTCTGCTGGAAACAGGTGGTCCAGTCCTTCAGGTTAAACCAGTCTGACCACGTTCTGTGAGCTTCACTGAGATGTTTGTCTTTCAGGGTGACACACCCAAACATCGAGCTGCCAAGGCCAACGACCAGGAACTGGCTGACTACCTGGGCAGCTGCCAACATTACCAGATGATCCAGAGAGAGGACGAGGAGACGGCAGTGTGACCTGAAATAAGACTGTTCACAGTTCTGTGATTTATTCCCTCCTGGTCCCACTCTATCTAACGCCATCATTTGTGGAGCTAAACCAAATCTTTGAACTTCACGGATCATCTCCAAGTTTGATTTAAACAGATCGGATTGTGGCTCCTCTCTGCTGTAAGAGGGGGTAGGAATCTAAGAACCTGGATTCTCCTTTTATTTCTGCTTTACACAAAGAGTCAAGGTGTCTTTATGGGTCCAGATTTCTGCCACTTGAAAACTTCTGTCTTGTAGTTGAACTGAAGAACAGAAAAACCTATTCAGACACTAAAACAAAATCAAACTAGTTTTTATTTTCAGGCCACATAGACTTGTACAGAGAGAGGAACAGCTGCTGACGGCAAACAGCAACAGCTTTTATATCAGCTATAACTTCAATAAGTGTCTTCTGTAAAGCTTTTAGTGACGTTTTGGATGTATTTGTTGTCTCCAGCTAAATAAATGTTTGGATATTTAATGTAGGAGGTTTAGATATTTATGATCAGTTTATAAAGATACAGACATTTTACTGTAATCAGAGCTTTGGATGTTTAACCTGTTTGTTAGAAGCTTAAAGCCAGCAGCTGCAGCATGAAGCTCCGTTTCCGTCTGTAAATACCTGTGGCGCTGATTTATTCACGTTCAAGTTTTAATGAGGATCTGAAGCCAGATTCTTCCAAGGCAGCCAAGTCCGTCCAGTTTAACCAGCCTCTGTTCAGTCAGGATGACATCATCACTCTATGATATTATTAACTGTTTGGTTTCATCATTTCTGAGTGACCTGCAATAAAGCACGTCAACAATGACCTGGGAGGAAAATCGAATTATTCAAATCTTAAATTTAGTTTTTGAAGCAAAACGAGTGGAGTTTTCTCCTCAGATGAGAACCAGAACATTTTAAAAAATCTAAAATAAGTCCAGCTGACTGGTTGAATTTACTGGGACCTCAGTGAGTTTGTTGGCACCATCAGGCCAGTGTTTGTGTTCATCATCATCAGTCTCTCACTTCACTGTCATTGCTCCAAAGTGACACTCGTTAAAGCTCTCCTTAAGAAACCTACTTTAGATTCAGCTTGTGCTTGTTCACTTGGAATCTCTGAACAACACTGTTGCATATTTGGGCCAAATTTTGCCAGAAGTTATTGTAATTATTGACAAAAATGACAACTCTATGGCTCTAAAATACCAGGAATGAAATGGAGACAGGTTCCAGATGCCCGCGACATTTCTGCAAGAAAATTTGTTACGCAAATTTTTTGAACATGTTTAGAATTCCTGTGGCTCGAGAACGAGACCCTGCGGCTCACCTAAGGAAACTGAGAAAGAGACCTTGTGAACGTTTCAAGACTTTTAACACCTCAGCGTTTTTTTAATTCTTATCTAATTGAAGGTTTAATGTTGGACCTGATGATGGTTCCTCTTTACCTGTGGAGTCCAACAGGGTCTGCAGCAGACCTTTAGGCCCACAGGAGACCCACATTGGTCCAGAGGTGTCCTTAAGGAGATGGCCAGGACTGCACAAAGACAAACGAGCAGCTTCATATCACAGATCATAATGTTATGGTTGATCAGACTGGTTGTGGAGAAGATCAGAACCAGTTTTCCTTCAGGTTCTACAAATCTCTAAAACTGGTCTGGAATCAGTCCAGAATCCTGCTGGACTTCAGGTGATCCTCCTGCTGCTCGGAGCTGAAGTTCCCAACAAAACATATGCATGACTGACCCATCAGGACCTGAGGAGGAGGAGGGGACGGACTCTGCCCATGAAACCCAGAACCACCAGAACCGAGAAAACCCAGCATCCCTCTCTGCCTCAGATCTTTCTGTTCCTGAACTACAGCTCCAGACGTTTTCACAAGAAACAAAACCTGAAAACTGTTAGGTGGACAAAGAACCAGAACTTTTTGGATCAACTTGATCCAATCCAACACCATCCCCGGCCGGGTCAGCTATCGGTCCGAGATTCTGACTGAAGAACCTTTACATTTGTTTTAAAAACAATGTATAAAATGTAGAATTTTAAAAATATATATTTTAGAAAATGTCTGCACTTTTAATTATGATTCTGGTTCTTTTCATCGGATCTGAAAGCAGGAAGAACCTAAATAAACAGTTTCCTAGAAAGAAACTCGTCCATCAGGCTGACCGTTGATCCCTCACTGTGTAACAAGAAGGTGCTCAAGTCCTGAAACTGAACCGGACCTGCGGAGAACACACACACACACACACACACACACACACTCAGATTAAACTCTTGCTTTTGTGCCAACAAGCCGAGCCTGTTTTGTTCTGCAGGATTAGAGCTGATGATGTCACTGGGAGGCCGGTCTTCAGGTGCGTGCACGTGCAGCGTGCATGCGTGTGTGAGGGTTGTTCAGGAGCTGCAGCTGAAGCTGCGTCAGAAAGCATCAACTGTTCAGCTCGATCGGCTGCTCCTCTCAGCTCGACATGTAAGTCTGAAGGTTTTTATTTGTTTCAAGGTTCTGATTCATTCGTCCAGGTTCTGATTTGTCTCCAGAATCTGTTCTTTGATTCTGAGGAGAGTAAAAAGGAACAAAAACTTTAGTTTTGGCAGTTTTACTTTGAAAGAGTTTAAACATTTTGAGACTAAAAATTGTTTTTTTGTAATTTTAACTTTAAAAAAACTGAAATATGAAAGTAAAAATTTTAAATGAACTAAAAACTTCAGGAAAAAGATGAGAAGAAAACTGATCAGAACCAGAACAGGTGAGTTTACCTGCTGGGTCAATACCAGCCTGCAACCGGGTCACAGATCCAGAACTAACCCACCACTGATGATGACATCAGTTTGGATCTGGCTCGATATCGGTTCCGTCCCTTCACACATGATTTAAACCCGTTTCTGTTGTGGCACACCGGTGTTCTGACAGGAACACAAGAAAAGTTCTGACCTGGTATCGTTAAACTGGACTCTGGAAGTCGGGGAGGAAGATCCTCAAGTTGGACTTCCAGAACCATGAGAGGTCTGGTTCCTCCTGGAGAAGAAGTTTTGTGGATTTCTTCAGAGAATCGTTCGGACCTGTTGATGAACCTCGGATCAGATGTCTTCAGGATCACAAACTTTGGATATGGTTCTGGTACTCGTGTGGGCCCGCACCGACCCGAATGCTCAGATATTCCAGAGGAAACTTTTTAATAGTTGGTCCAGAACCAAAGAAAACATCCTGTTCCTTTTCTTCCTGCTGAGATCTAATTGTTTGGTGCTGAGGGGACGGGACTCGGGTGGGAGACGGAGCTGGGCGACGGGGCTGGGATGGGGGACGGAGCCGGGCGACGGGGCTCGGGATGGGGGACGGGATCCAGGGTGGGGGGGCTCCTCAGGGGTGGGGTGGATTCTGTGTGGGGCTTCAGAGACGTGGAACCGGGCCTGAAGAGGCTTTGTTTTGGACCAATGAATCAGTATTCTTTTGAGGGAAACTAAAGAGCCCTTTCATCTGCCCCCTTCGTCCTCCTCCTCCTCTTCTTCATTGATGAAGGGCAGACTGGAGGCCTGCTGAGACCCGGTTCTTTCTCTGAAAGCCTGCAGGATTGGTTCTGCCAGCTGACGTGTGAAAGAGAAGCGTTGCTTTAATGGAGGCCTGAAAGAGGAGTCTGTCATCGGAGCACAAAGACAGCGGAGCGCCCGAGAGGGGCATTCTGGGTAATTAACTCCTTGCTTTTCACATCCCAACCATCAGCCTGAACTGGACTCGGGGCCCCGGTCCTTGAGCGGAGAAGGAAGCCCTTAAAGTGGAGCAGAACCACGAGATGAGAAGAAAACAAGGCGTCTGCCCGCTTTATAATCCCAACACAATGCTCAGATTAATGCCCGGGGTCTGGGGGGGGGTCGGGCCAAGGAGAACAACTGGGTTTGGACCATCTGGTCCTCGGAGAGAGACGGGCTAGTGGGACAACAGGACGGTCCCACAGAGGTCACGTGACAGCAGATTAAAGAGGACAACAATCTGAGCACAGTGTTGTGATGAAACGTTTCATTTCTTTGAGATTTTAATTTTTAATCTCGAGTTTTGGCCCAAATTCATTAATTTTATCATTTTAATATTATCATCCGCCAACAAAGGGCACAGGCAGACTATGATGTTCTGACTGTGTTAGCAAAATACCTCATGAACCAAAGCACGGGTTGGAATGAAACTCCAGTTAATTCACTTTCAGACTCAGTTCAATTCAAGATGGCCGCCTCAGCCAGCCGGCCTTTGACAAATCAACAATGGCTGAAATTCAGCTTGTTTTTCAGACACAGAGCTGAAGTTCGGTTTGGATAATCTGGCCTGAGAGGCGGCGGGTGATGAGCATTCCTTCAGCAGCTTTCAGCTCCTGCTTCCAGAAACAACCCCAGCTTCACGTCGCTGTAAAAACTGGATTAAATTATTTTCAGACTTTCACTTCAGAACCACCTGCAGACGGTTCTGATCCAATCAGCTGAATTCAGACCGGTGAACAGAACCGTCTGAGGGGGGTCGATGGAACCAGGATACACCTGGACTCAGTGTAATCCACCTGGATTAGGACCTTTCAGGATGGGCTTTAAAAACTGCCGTTTGTCGTCAGATTAAATCACAGTTTAGTCTTTGATTCTTTGTTTGTTTATTTTGTTTGTTTGTTTATTTTGTTTGTTTATTTATTTGTTACTCGACATCGTGAAGTTTTATTTGATTTTGTCTCTGAGTCAGTTCGTGTTTGATTCATGTTTTATTTTTTTGTCTCTTCATCTGTTAATGTTGCTTCGTGTTGTGTCTTTGTGTCTTTGTCCTCTGTTTGTGAGTCCTTCCAGAGGATTGAGCCTCGGGGCCCCCTGACCCCTTTGTCCCGGATCACATTAAGCCCATTCAGTAATCCCTCCATGGAGAGGACACCCCCGTCCCCCTGTGACACTGTACATCTGTCCACATGTAAACAGAAATCCTATGATGCTGAGAACTGTCCAGACCATGTTGTCCTCCTGGTTTACATGTCAGTCTCTGTCCCTGCAGGATGAGATGTTTGTCCTGGTTTACTTGTCTCTCTGTGTCTCTGTCCCCAAAGAATGAGATGTTTGTCCTGTTTTTTTCATCTCTGTGTCTCTGTCCCTGCAGGATGAGATGTTTGTCCTGTTTTTTTCATCTCTGTGTCTCTGTCCCTAAAGGATGAGACGTTTGTCCTGGTTTTTTCATCTCTGTGTCTCTGTGCCCACAGGATGAGATGTTTGTTCTGGTTTACTTGTCTCTCTGTGTCTCTGTCCCCACGAGACGTTTGTCCTGTTTTTTTCATCTCTCAGTGTCTCTTTCCCCACATGATGAGACGTTTGTCCTGATTTACCCGTCTCTCTGTGT